CTGGGCCACCGCCGCCATCGCCGCCGCAAAGCGCCCACCGGACGGAGACGCGGACGGGAGCGGGACTGAGCCTGCGTCGGCGCGCCGATTAAAGACGATCAAGATCAGCTGACGAGAGGGAAAGAGGGAGAGGGGGAGGGGGACAGGAGGGGAGGCGGGGCGAGGATGGAAGGCGGGGGGGGGGGACATTCTTTCTTTTCGGGCAGAAGAAGTATACGCCGATTTCACGCCATGCTCGGTTGCTCCCCCGGTCACGGGTTGAGAGTGTCAGTGTGCTTACATAGCTAGTTACCATGCTCGTTTACAAATTGATCTCTATTATACTAAGAGCGAGATGCAGCACGAGAGCTGGGTCTATTGGCGCTATCGACGATATTCTAAGCTAAGCGGCAGGAAGAAAGAGCGAGACCGGAGCTCCTTTCGATGTCTCAAAGTGCCTATCATGTAGACATCGAGCGCTTCGACCTGATGGGAAGTCATCGCAACCAAAGCCCTCTCTGGACGGGTCTGACAGGTTGGACGTCTTACGTCGGACCCATCTGAGCATAGACTTCGAGGAATAATGTATTTGGGAAGGTGCAGGAAGAACTGGTAGTTCAGATGAGTATGTAAGGACGAATTCATGAGGGGCAATATTACTACGACCGTCTCGTGAAACATCTGGAGGAGCTCAGGCCATTCTGAAGCTCCTTTCCCTCCTTCCTTAGCTCGTGGGTACTCAGAGTAGAGTTCGAAAAATAAAGCGTCATCATAGATATTCTGAGATGCCATTGTGTAGTTTATGCTGGTATATTACAACGAGGAAGATGAAAGAGGAAAGTGGGATTCAATGCCCTTTTCTTGAATCTTATATAAAGGTCGCCCAGCTTTTGTAATTGAAGTTGCTACTATTTGCGGCCTCTATGTTGGGTTATGCATGTAGGGTACAAATCGAAAGGCCCACAACGTTACAAAAAGACCAGGATTTCCAACATTAGTCCCACCCTCTCAGGTCTTCCACCCCTTATCTTTACAATGCTTAGTCGGTAAGGCTTGTAAAGTAGACGGAGAATGAGTTCCACCATGGCTAGCTCTAGGTGATGCTGGGTTTTGCTTGCCGGTTGGGATCTGACACAAAATTTATATGCATATTTTGCAGGCAATTGCCACCGGCGTTCCATCCCACACGCCATTCATAGGCCGCCAATTTAAGCTCAGAGAAGTTTATGCTTCTGCTTTCATATATTCGACTTCTGCCTGTCAGCCTGCAGGTCCAGCATAAAAGTCCACAACAGAAATAAAAAGTCTAGTACTTAGTTATGTGACATAAACATTGAGATAATCCTACCTGTGGGTTAGACCTTCGGTTGCACCTGGAGACCAGAATCGAGAGCTTCTGGTGTGAGTGTGGACCATTATCCTGGGACTTCCCGATGGTCGTCTATGGCCTCTTTTTGCAGACCTTCCGGGTGCTGACCGTCCTGCTGACGGGAAGAAGTTCGTCCCGAATTACCGCCGAATTCAGGTAAGAAACATAAGAATAAGCTATTGTTTTTACGCCATCGACGTGCAGGACAAAATCCTTCCATGGTACAACAGACGGTCACCAGGATTTGCACTTGCCAATGACTGAAAAAGTAAGTGGTTTCAGCATTGAGATGTGGAAGCTGTAATCTTAATTCCGTAATGCAAAGCTATTTGTCAAATATTAGGGTGAAAATTGTATTTTTTGTATTGTCTTTTTTTGCCCCCTCTGTCTTGAGGTTTCAGGGCAAGCTTTATATACCCTTTCTCTTCTGTATAGAATCAGCTAGAAGCTGATTGCTAAGCCTCGTGGCAATAGGTGGCAATAGGTGGCAATAGGTGGCAACAGGTGCCAACTTTCGCCTCTGACGTATCTGACACTATTACTCTACAACCTTAGTGGGCCTTTTGATGGTGATAGGTTAAATACCTTAAATAAACTCGCTAAGCTCTGCGTTTCACGGATGCATATTTACATCTCGTTACCTTAGTACACGTTCTCAATATCAGTTTTCAGACCTATAAACATCTGATTATCCCGAACTTTGTCCTGCAATATTTAACTATATAGGGTGGTTTCCCCTCGACAATCCTTATTTCTTCCCTGTGCCTAACTTAGTAGAAAGGATGCCTGTGCCAGAATCACCTCGTCCCGTAGTACCTTTACCCCTGGCCTATCCATCTTTCTCCTACACTATCCCAAATACATGCGTCGACACACGGAGTCTACGCCAGGGACGATGCGACCGACTTCAAGGGAATTCAATCGCTTGTCCCCTGAATGAACTTCTTTCGTCCCCTTTTCCGAGAATGACGACAGTATCTAGGTCGACCCAGACGGTCGTGACCATGTCGCAGTGGATCCCGTAACAAAAAGGAAGACATTCAGCAAGTCCGAAGTCTCAGACAGTAATGACGGGCCAGCGGATGAAAATATCGACGGGAGTATATACTCCGACCGAGCACATGCTGATTCGAACACGATCCATTTAAATCGTGGTTCCCGGATGTCGCTGTAGACACCAAGAGCACGTACGCATTAAATATCCAAGAAGAAGCTCAGCGTGGACAGTACTGCGCAGGCAACAATTTTCGATCCTGCTGCACGCCTGCCAAGTTTTGTTTACACTTTTGACGTTGTACGTGGCCGTTACGCGCTGTCACGCGTGTAAACTCAGCTCCACATTCTGGGCAGCTGAACTTACGTGCCTGTTCGGACTTTTCTCGTTGGTGGCGAATGAGGTTGCTCCATGTGGAGAACTGACGGCCATCACAGCCGTGTTCCCAACAACATGGCTTCGGCTTGCGGGCAATCGTGTTGCTGTCCGGAGAACATCCCTCCATTTGCACAGATGGCGTGTGGTTGCCATTGGCCGAAACGGCATCATTGGAAATGTATCTAACACGTGAATCAGTTTCAAGATCATTAAACAACAACACCACTAACTATATTACCCGTAATAGAAAGGTACTAGGGCTGGATTCAAGAAAGATATGTATATATATGCTTGTTGATAAAAGGGGTTAGGGATTATCATCTGGTTGGGAAGCGTTAACGGTGGTGTATAGCCAAGGGCTATCCCATCTTGGGCGGCAGTCATTGGGCTGATACATTGGGCTGCTGGGACATGAAATGGAACTTGAGTCCCTTGAGTCTCGGTTGTTGCCTGGTCTTGCTGCCATTGCCCTGTCGAGCTTAATCTTCTCCTGACACGAGCAAGTAACCCAGTGCCTCATAGTCTTTACTGTAAAAATCCTTATATATAAACCATCTAAACTTGAACTATATAACTGATTGAGCACTGGGTGTCCGCTAATTGTGTTGAGCTAGTTGAGCCTTTTGAAGATTTTAGCCCATCTGCGGGCATGTTTAAGTATGACTCTGTTTATAGGTGTTCCTGCTTGGTATTGGTCTAGAATATCGTGAGGAGACAAATGACCCGTTATTTGGTTTAACATGTCTTGCGATAGTTTACACATGGTGGTATAGGAGTTGATTGAGGGAAAATAAAATCCAGGGAAACTGTAAACATGAACCTCGGAAAACAGAAGTCATCTAGTTAAATACAACCTTTTGTTAATCCTCCTTTTTTTATTAGTTTGTGACATACGCTTATCACCTCAATATTATAATAATCACTTCACAGTGAGCTTGTGAAATGAAGGGGTTTATATACTGTGTGCGATTCTTATACGTTATAGTATAGAATATTCAGAAAGTACTTTATGAACGATAGATATCTTAATTAAGTACGGTACATTTTGATGCCTACATGGATCTCTCTGCACAAACTTACCTAATCTTAACAGCGTCGGGGGCAAGATACGTAGCCCTCAGCAGAATTGCGCACACGATGAGATCATATGGCTTTCGGTCTGTCTTGCACTGTCCTTCGCTATCATTATATGTAAATTGGAATGGCTCGCGGCCGCTGTCGGAGTATTAGAATACGCCCATATAGAATACTTATAAGAAGAATGGAAATATTCTAGGTGCTTCCCGGACACAGCAGCTTCCATCTATCGAAAAATGCAACACTAGGAGTCTTTCGAGGCGCCAAGCAGAACTTTCAAGTGTTCTGTATTGTGACTACAGTATGTACGGTGATCGACCAGAAAGATCGTACTTTTTGAGACTTTAGTGCATAAATATATCTAGGTACCCAACAGAAGTCCCGTATTTTGAAAGACTACATCATGGCTGTTGGGTTAAATACAGGTACTTCTGATAAGCATTGTACTCCACATACAACAAATCGGAAAAGTACACTGCGTGAAAGACATAGATCGCTCGCCCAGCACGATGCCCAAGGGACTGGAGCACAGATCGTTTCCCGTTCTCACAATGATCATGGGCAATACTTCGGCCGCATAGGGCTTCTCCCAATCTTAGCTGGGCTTCATAGCTCTCTCATCCCACAGCCCACCGTTTCCCTACCGTACACAACAACGTCCATCCTGCCCCTCTGATCAGGTCTGACTGCGCGAGCCTGGCTGGACTGAGGCCTCCGATGCTATTCAACCCCCCCCCCTCCTTCGCGGCGGCCTCACCTTGTGGTCTGCTTCTACCCTCATTTGTGCATCGTGGCTTTCGCGCCCGGGCTGCCTGCGGCCCATGTGTTGGCTGGCTGGCTCCTCCTCGTCAGCCAAAGGGGCTGTGTTGGATCTCTGTTACGACACTGACATCTGGGATAGGGAACCGTCGGCCGAGATGTTATAGCCGGCCGTAGTTTCTTAAAGTGGACATAATGTAACTGAGCAGCCGCGAGTAGACTTAAGAACAGTTTCAAACATGATGTTGTCTTCGCTGAGCTGGGTATTAAGCGTACAAGAAGGATCGTAAAATTCGGCTGGCGAATGATGAAGGCACCTCGCGTCCGACTGCTTTTGTGAGCTGATGCTGTTGAGTTTCCAACGAGTCGAAGTCGTGACTAGGTTTTTCGCTGCATAGAAGCCGTTCGAGCTCTTTTGCGAGCGGCTCGCGAGGTGCAATCCTTTGCCTTATAGTCTAGTGGTCAAGATTCTGGTTTCTAAACTAGAGACCTGGGTTCATCCCCAGTGCGATTTTCCTCCATCTCGAGATCCTGCGATTTGCTTTTTACCCTTTTTGATTCAAGCGTTCCACGTACGCTTCAATTCTGATTCTCAGTGTGTTCGGAGATCAGCTTTTCCAGCGCTCCATTGTGTGATTTCTTCGTGCAAGCATCTGCTGGGTTGTGTAGGGGACCGCGTAAACCGCGTTTAAGCATGTGTTTTTGTGTAATCGAAAGAATTTTTGCAGCTCTCGGTTGCATTGATCATGGACGTTGTCGGCCGAATTGAGCTCAGCAGCCTTGACAGCCCGAAATGTTGCCTGAAAAGAGGAGCACGGCTATGGCCGGTCAAACTGTCAGTACACAAGCCTCGCGGAAGAGAACTAAAACCTATATTGTCACATAAAATTTTGTTGGCCGACTCTTCCCGATCAACGGTAGTACAAATCGAGACCTAGTGGGACAGTTTGAAACGGCAGCACATCCTCATACATGATTGTGGTCTTCACAAAGAATCCGTATCGACTGACATCGGTGCGCAATAAAAATCGTTTCAGTAATATGGCGGATCTTCACCGGTCAATTTGCCTTTTCAACAACACAAGCTTAAGAAACCACACACGACATGGCTATGAAGAGTTGAAACTGAAAAATTGAAAATGATGGCAAGGAGTTAACGAAGAAATTCTGTCGTCCGCCTCGCCCACTTCCTCCGTAAGTGTGCCAACAGAAGAGCCTGGTGTATCCGACGATGACCATGTCTTGACACAAAGCATCCTCAGGGTCTGCGCAGATTTTGCGCCCGTGCGACGTTCTGGACCTCGACGTCGGTCAGTCGCTGTGGCTCGAAACGCCCCTCTTTCGCCGCCGCAACCGCGAACTGTTCCCACGCCCGCGCATCGTTCAAGGAGTCCGCTCCTCTGGCTTTGGTGATGAAACGGTTGTGTTCAGCCCGTGCGACGGCCTGGACCTCGACATCGGTCAGTCGCTGTGGCTCGAAACGCCCCTCTTTCGCCGCCGCAACCGCGAACTGTTCCCACGCCCGCGCATCGTTCAAGAAGTCCGCTCCTCTGGCTTTGGTGATGAAACGGTTGTGTTCAGCCTGTTTGATGGCTTTTGTATCCATATCGGCGGATTGGTAATTGTGTCCGGAAGTGAAGAAGAGAACACAGGACCCGAACATTCACCAGTGGGATTGTTTACAGGTACATTTATAGAAACGCTGTACTTTACTCTTGGTGACGTATTTTGCAACACCACAAAGCGTGATTGACTGATTTGGTCATTTGGTAAGTACTCTGCAATATACGGTAGTTCTGAGTTTATTTTTACAACGGTCCCTTTCACTTTACTTAGTACACTTTATTGCAAATTGTCCGTGGAACTTCCCTCCAATATATAGCATCATATTTACAGGACTATACATACATGTTACATTTTCACAAGTACAGCCTAGAGTAATGAGTATAAGTAGAGCCAGATCCAACACAATTTCTAGTTCTAATCGCCTTCAATCAAACACAACTTCCCGGTCAATCAAATACAATGGCGCTTCAATCTCAGACGACCGCCGGATGGCAACAACAAATCACCGCACTGAAGAGGCAAATCCTCGAGCTGAAGGACATCATCGATGGCGTCTTGATGGCACCATCTTCGGCTTTGGCTCTTCCCGAGCCCGATAAACTTGACGACATCACGGATTACGACATCTGGATACCGTATTTGACTGCTAAGCTTGAGCTTGACAAGGGAGCCAATACTTCCGACGAAAAGAGACGCTGTCACTGTATAGCTCATCGCTGTCCGATAAGTCACGACAGAACCTGTTGTTACTAGTGGAGCGGCCCCCAGGAGCATCAGATGCGGAGGAAATATGCTCATCCGATGTGGCCATGATATCAGACCATTCCGACCTTCTGAATCGGAAGGACCTGAGGGCATTCTTACGCCTACAGCCCGCCGATCTCGATCTTGTACCCAGCCTTCGGAGGGACTTCGAGCGTTGGAAGCAAGAGCCGATGACTTTCTTCGAGGGCCTCAACATGGATACCGACGTCGATAGGGACCTCTCGGGATACCTCTCCAGGCAAAACAAGAATGCTGCCCTCCTGAGAAGCGGTGATCTCAAGAGCCGCATCAGACTGAGGTTCCTCAAGGTCTTTTTTAATCAGGCTGAAAGTATCTGCCAGAATCCTGGCTTCGACAAGCTGGAGCAACGTACCGGGAGGGACTGGGCCAGTCGTGGTCGCACATACAACTATCTCAGGAGGAAACTGGGTACGGGCTGCCTTTTCTTGCTACCAGCCGTTGTCGGTGATACTGTGTAGGTCTCCTTTAGCTCCAACAGATCGCATATTTCTGACATTTACAGTTGGGAGCAACGGCTGTCAGCCAAGAGCAGGGAGCGCAAAGTGGTAATGTGTAGACTGAAACTGTTAGGTATCACGAAAAAGGTCCGTGAACTCCAGGCAGAGGTACTGGAAGAAACCATTCTAAAAAGGCTCCTCGAACCACTCACATCCGATTGTTCTGCGCCAATGTCAACCACAACCAGTTCCACTGATGACGGGCAGTGGAACTTGGCTCTTGTTGCGACGCGAATAAACAGAAAATCCGAACAAGTCTTTTACCGGGTTCCAATTCTTTACGATTACGATTCGCCTATTTTCATCTGCGCGCAGAATGGCGTGCAGGCCTTTTCTTCGTGCGTCCTTGTCTTCATACAGGAAATCTCGTGGGCTATGTGGCATCCAAAGTGTCTGGATCAAGTGCCAGGCAGACAAGGACGCAACAGAGATTTCTACCTGTGATGCAATGTTGATACTTTGCAGTAAGTTGGATTTAATGTTTGGAACGCTCTTCGTACACTGTTGCTGGGCCTTACACATTTATATAGACATCCGACTTGTTGATTGATGAGACTTCGAAATGCTTGAGTTGCGACTAATGCAGGTAATTGTCATTGTGAAGCGCTCATGAACTATCCAGGGAGAAATGCATTTCATTTATCTCCAGGGCTCAAGTATGATTGGCTGGATTATTCACAGTGTTCATGACAATATCTATGTCAGCTGAGTTTTGGTTTCACTTTTGTGCCATCTCTAATTTAGATGTGAAGTGGACAGACCCATGCTTTAAAAGTTTCATGGGAGGATATATGGGTGTGTGTGTGTGTATGGGTGGGTGTTTGTTAGGCTGATGGTGACTTGAGTCTACATAGACAGATCGGCAACGTATCCTCATGGTTCTTAAATAACGGATTTGTCATACGACAATAATGTGAAGCTCAATTTCCATTTCTTGCGAATCTTAGTGCTACGTTGATTAATTTCGGATTAGTATATGGTGGAAGGGAGCGCATTTATAGTACAATACTCGTCAACCATTGTCCAGGGGCCCCGCACTTGATGCCTTGGCTCCTGGCACCCTTCGAGGATCCCAAGATTGGTGGCGTTGGAACGTGCCAGCGTGTCCGTCGTGAATGGAATGCCAACCTGAAAACCCGGGCTTTTAACTGGCTAGGAGCTGCCTACACCGAGCGCCGCAACTTCGAGATATCCGCTACCCACAATATTGATGGGGGCACATCTTGCATGTCTGGGCGCACTGTTATATAGCCATTTATCTGGCTTCAAGGAGGAATAACTTAAGAATCCTTTTAAAGTTCCCAATATTGATTTTTATCTTTCTTTCTCATGATCAAATCGACCTTTTGAAACGTAGAGAACCGTATTTCCCGCCATATTTGGTGTACAAGGTAACGTAGCGGAACTCTTGCTAGTACAATCCCCATAGTTTTAATGGTGCCCCACGGACCGTATATTGGGCGAGAGCCCTTGGGAAGCAGTTGCGCCGCAGGTCACTACGAGAAATTCTAGAGAATCGAATCCTTCATTGAAGTTTTGAGGACTTGCAAGATTTCAAGGTCATGAACCACAAACCAAGTCAGTGGAAGAACTCGCCCTCGTAGGCAAAGTCAGGTAAGCTACGTCGCTGCACCCAGCCCTGCCAGGATGACGACCATGCCCGCGAAACTTTTCCTTTCTGTGACGGTTCCACCCAGGCTACGCCGCTGCCTCCGACCCTGTCAGATTAGCGACCATGCCCGTGAGGAACATCAGCTTGCTGGGACCACCTAGATCACAGCACCGAGGTTGGAGCCTTCCTCATCACATCGCATCGCGTCGAGACTGCCCACTACCCCCGGCCCTGCCAGGTTTACGGGTATGTCCTTGGCGCGGTGTGTGATGCGTGATTGCGACCTGGTATAGGACACTTCCCTGTGCAACTACGGTTATGGCACCACCGAACGCGCCTTGCCGTGTGAATCGAGTTCGTGAAAGGACGAAGCCCCCTGCCGTCTCTGCCGCGTAAGCCGTTGGGAGGGACGAGTCTGATGCACCGCCACTCCGCTGCGAGAGCCTTGCCCTGTTCTTGTCCTTGATGCTCTCCGGTCTGGTGGCAATGTGACGGACTTCTCTACCTTGCTGCTGTACTTGGTGCATGGACTGGCTGATGGTGGTTTGCCCTTGCGCCGCCTTGGACGGCGGCTGCCTTGTGAAGTCTGAGCTCCAGTCGCAGCCAGCCCATGGTCGTGCTTGTCTCTTGTGTCATTATTTCCTCCGTCTTTCTCGTCCGGATGTATCGACCCAAACCCTGTTTGCTGCCTGCTGTTTCCCAGGTGTATTTGCGGAGCCGTGTTCACGTTACCGCGTTGTTCGGTCGGGTCACTACTGACAGCTCCATCGGCACGGTGCCGTGATCCTCCTGACGGGGAAGGAGTCATCGTAGTAGGCGGTACTGTCGATAGCGCAGGCTGAGGCGCTGATGGTGGCAGCCCTTTATGAGCTCGTCTGGCTCGGGGTGATACTGGCCTGCGCGATGACGATGCCGTCCTTGGCTCGACCATGTCATCGGCGAATCGCAACTTCTTGGTGGGTCGCGCTTCGTCTTCATCTTCGGAATTCGCGGTTGCTGGTGTGAGTGGTCTCTTCCGCGTTCGCGGACTGCTAGCCGTGCTTGGCTTTTGGC